GAGACATCACCATTTGGTATAAACGCAAACACTTTAAAAATTTAAAAACAATTCAAAAAACCAATAACTCAAATAATTTCGGATACAAAACCTCCTGACATCTATTTATGAATGAATTGATCCTTGTAATATATAAATTTCTGCCGTATTAGTACTATTTGAATTTTTTACTACAAGCACGTTAAATTGATTGCACGTTTATTGTAATTTATATAACTGATCCATGTGCGACTTTTGGATAATAAGTGCGACATTACTGTAATTATTGAACAATATAGTTCATGCCACTTTGACAGTAAAATTTACCAGTAAAATAATTTGTTCATCACCATATTTGGTATAAACGCAAACACTTTAAAAAATTAAAAATCAAACTCAGCGTTGCTTTGGCGCGTTCAAAAAACCAATAACTCATTTTCAATAGCATTTCGGATACAATACACATATATTTTCGATGTCCTCTTATTACTAAGAAAAAACAAGAACAACATCTATTATATACCTGAAGATGTCTGTAGGAACAGACGAAAGCTTGTAGTAAAAATAACAACTAATACGGCAGAAATTTATATAAACAAGGATCAATTCATTCATAACGGATCTGGAGGTTTTTGTGTACTATTTGAATTGTTTGCGAGATGGATGTCTCGCCATTTAAATCATTAACCTTTGCATTAGTTTTTTGTGAATAATTCATGTATTTTAAATTGATTGCACGTTTATTGTAATTTATATAACTGATCCATGTGCGACTTTTGGATAATAAGTGCGACATTACTGTAATTATTGAACAATATAGTTCATGCCACTTTGACAGTAAAAATTTACCAGTAAAATAATTTGTTCATCACCATATTTGGTATAAACGCAAACACTTTAAAAATTAAAAAATCAAACTCAGCGTTGCTTTGGCGCGTTCAAAAAACCAATAACTCATTTTCAATAGCATTTCGGATACAATACACATATATTTTCGATGTCCTCTTATTACTAAAGAAAAAAAAACAAGAACAACATCTATTATATACCTGAAGATGTCTGTAGGAACAGACGAAAGCTTGTAGTAAAAATTACAACTAATACGGCAGAAATTTATATAAACAAGGATCAATTCATTCATAACGGATCTGGAGGTTTTTTGTGTACTATTTGAATTGTTTGCGAGATGGATGTCTCGCCATTTAAATCATTAACCTTTGCATTAGTTTTGTGTGAATAATTCATGTATTTTTTAAATTGATTGCACGTTTATTGTAATTTAAATAACTGATCCATGTGCGACTTTTGGATAATAAGTGCGACATTACTGTAATTATTGAACAATATAGTTCATGCCACTTTGACAGTAAAATTTACCAGTAAAATAATTTGTTCATCACCATATTTGGTATAAACGCAAACACTTTAAAAAATTAAAAATCAAACTCAGCGTTGCTTTGGCGCGTTCAAAAAAAACCAATAACACATTTTCAATAGCATTTCGGATACAATACACATATATTTTCGATGTCCTCTTATTACTAAGAGAAAAAAACAAGAACAACATCTATTATATACCTGAAGATGTCTGTAGGAACAGACGAAAGCTTGTAGTAAAAATAACAACTAATACGGCAGAAATTTATATAAACAAGGATCAATTCATTCATAACGGATCTGGAGGTTTTTGTGTACTATTTGAATTGTTTGCGAGATGGATGTCTCGCCATTTAAATCATTAACCTTTGCATTAGTTTTGTGTGAATAATTCATGTATTTGTAAATTGATTGCACGTTTATTGTAATTTATATAACTGATCCATGTGCGACTTTTGGATAATAAGTGCGACATTACTGTAATTATTGAACAATATAGTTCATGCCACTTTGACAGTAAAATTTACCAGTAAAATAATTTGTTCATCACCATATTTGGTATAAACGCAAACACTTTAAAAAATTAAAAATCAAACTCAGCGTTGCTTTGGCGCGTTCAAAAAACCAATAACTCATTTTCAATAGCATTTCGGATACAATACACATATATTTTCGATGTCCTCTTATTACTAAGAGAAAAAAAACAAGAACAACATCTATTATATACCTGAAGATGTCTGTAGGAACAGACGAAAGCTTGTAGTAAAAATAACAACTAATACGGCAGAAATTTATATAAACAAGGATCAATTCATTCATAACGGATCTGGAGGTTTTTGTGTACTATTTGAATTGTTTGCGAGATGGATGTCTCGCCATTTAAATCATTAACCTTTGCATTAGTTTTGTGTGAATAATTCATGTATTTGTAAATTGATTGCACGTTTATTGTAATTTAAATAACTGATCCATGTGCGACTTTTTGGATAATAAGTGCGACATTACTGTAATTATTGAACAATATAGTTCATGCCACTTTGACAGTAAAATTTACCAGTAAAATAATTTGTTCATCACCATATTTGGTATAAACGCAAACACTTTAAAAAAATTTAAAATCAAACTCAGCGTTGCTTTGGCGCGTTCAAAAAAACCAATAACTCATTTTCAATAGCATTTCGGATACAATACACATATATTTTCGATGTCCTCTTATTACTAAGAGAAAAAAACAAGAACAACATCTATTATATACCTGAAGATGTCTGTAGGAACAGACGAAAGCTTGTAGTAAAAATAACAACTAATACGGCAGAAATTTATATAAACAAGGATCAATTCATTCATAACGGATCTGGAGGTTTTTGTGTACTATTTGAATTGTTTGCGAGATGGATGTCTCGTCATTTAAATCATTAACCTTTGCATTAGTTTTGTGTGAATAATTCATGTATTTTATAAATTGATTGCACGTTTATTGTATATATATATATATATATTTATATATATATATAGGGAAGAGGTTTAAAAAGTTGTTTGAACGGGTAAAAAAGTGTATATTTTTTAAAGAAGAAAGAAACCTATTGCAAACGTTTTTTGTTTGTAATATGGTTTTTTTTTTTTTAAATATATTTTAACGGATCTGGAGGTTTTTTTCCGGGTCCTGGATGTCTCGCCATTTAAATCAAACTTTTGCATTAGACCTTCTTCAGTTTTGTAAAAGAGTGGATATTATACATATTATTAAATGAATTAATCTTTTGTTTGTGTTTTCGATATATTTAAACTTTTTTTTTTTTTGTGTGATAGTGACACAAATGTCTTTCTTGGACTGGATAGTGAGAAATATATATATATATATATATATATATATATATATATATATATATATATATATAGTTGTTGTATATTTAGGCAGCAATCCTTCGTTTATGCATGTTTCACTAAAAACAACAGACAAGGCACGGTTATGCTTTTTATTTAATTTTTCTTGTGTTCGAACAAGAGCTTTCTTTTCTGGACAAAGATTGTGTAAAAACTGTCCAGATGTTTAATAGTTCCGAGCGCTTTCGACTATACCTTTAGACATTATCAAGGATGATTCGATTTTTCAGTTTAACTGAGTGTGTGCATTATGTGTATGTTTTAGTGTGTTGTAGGGATGTTTTGAATTTCTGAATACGATTAGCACATTGTGGCCTTGTTCGTAGTTAATATTAAGAGTTGGCTTTTTCTTTTTTATTATTAAAGCTTCCATTAGGTATGTGTATGATAAAAAAAAGCATGCATACACACACGAAATGTTATGAGACAGAGCTATAAGCATATATCAATGAATATAAAAAATATCCAACGCCGATAGCAAGACTCGGAATTTCATGCAGTTGCTGCAATCTTCAGCGGCAAATACAATCTGCTGCAAAAATCGCTGCAAAAAGTTATACAAAACGCCAAGTGCAGCTACGCACGAACGGTCCAGGCCAAGGTTGAAAAAAAAATCAAATTGGATCCCGTTAATTTTTGAAGACCACCAACCAAATCACGAACAGAGGTAAAGCGGCTGTGCTCACAATTATAAATGGCACCGAAGTCATATTCTCCTCGACAGATAAGGCGAACCTCGTCGCCTTCATTTTTGCCTCAAACTCAACGTTAAATGGCAAAAACTATCCCCTCCCCAAGTTCTCACGTTTCCCCGAGCACAATCTCAGTAATATTACCATCACAGCCCGAGAAGTCTCAAGACTTATCAAAGGTCTTGGCCTTAAGAAAGCCACTGATCCGGACAAAATTCCAGTGGCTTTCCTTAAGAACATCAGCCTGAAATTATCCCCAATCCTTGCAAAGTTATTCACCCGCTACTTAAAGAATAAGTCCTTCCCAAGCCAGTAGAAAGTGTCAAGCGTATGCCCGGTTTTCTAGAATGCAGGAGTATGTTCTTCCCTCTCTCAGTACAGATCCGTTAGTCTCTTCAGCATCATCAGCAAAGTCTTTGAGGTTATAATCAATAAGAGGGTCATCGAGCATCTAGAAAAGGACAACCTTTTCAGCGAAGTGCAGTATGGGTTTCGGTCGGCCCGATCCACTGCCGACGTCCTAACTACCATCGCTCACAGAATCAGTGAGGCTCTTGACGACAAACACACCTGGAGGATCATAGCACAACATATCTCAAAGGTCTTCAACAAGGTGTGGCACAAAGGCTTACTTACACAAGGTCTCCAATTATGGAATCACCAGAAGGGTATTCTCAATCATAAAATCCTTCCTAACAGATAGGTCTCAGGTACTCAGATCATTTGTAAATATCTATGCTGATGATACGTCTATATTCTCACAGAGATTGGCGACTGATCTCTCTTCCGATTTAGCACAAACTATCCAATGGGGTAAAAACTGGCTGGTTACATTCAATGTCTCGAAGACCAAGCGAGTTACATTCCATTATCGTCGATATGACCCTGAACTACGACCAATCAGGATAAACAGAGGTCTATACTACTAAAAACATGGCTCCTCTTCTAACTTGGCGAAAATAATAAAGATTTATGCTATGGCGAAAGAATAAAAACTCTTCAACAAGTTTTCATTTCTTGTACATCAACTGCAAACAGAATGTCAATGAAAAATGAACATTTCACAATTTAGATAGTTATGAATAAGATAGATAGATAGATAGATAGATAGATAGATAGATAGATAGATAGATAGAATTTTATGGTTATTTTAAGCCGAAAAAATACCTATAGATTGTAAGTACTTTTTGGAGATATGATGATTTACTGATCAAATCTTACTAATTAACCCACAGATGAGGGAGAAGAACTCGGCTCTTCAATTTTTAATTCCCAACGTTATCCATTACAGTATGCGCACATCGAAGCAAATGGTATTCCCAAGCGATCACCCATCTACGAACTGACTAGGCTCGACGTTGCTTAACTTCGGTAATCGAACGAGAACCGTTATTTTAATGTAATATGGCTGTAAGCCGTATATTTACACACTCATACACACAAGTGTGTGTGTGCGTGTGTGTGTACGACGTATGGCCATGTCACTTTGAAACAAGATGGATAGATAGTTACATTCCATCATCGCTGATCTGATCCCGAACTATGACCAATCAGGATGAACGGTGGTCCTCACGGTGAAACACCGTAACTTGAAAGCCTGTTGGGCCTCAAAACTCACACCCGACCTCAAGTAGAGCTCGTACATACGATCCATTGCTGAGGATGCAAGTAAAGTGATCGGCTCCCTGTACCGCTCCAGTAAATACCTGACCCCCTCCTCCTGCTATCTTCTACCTTTACTACACGCAGATCAGGCCAAAAATAGAGTACTATTGTCATATTTGGGCGGGTGCTGCCCAGACCTCATTCTTCTGCCTTGATAGAGATCAAAAGCGTCTCCGAGCCCCTGTGGTGACGAATTATTCTCCACCCTTCGACCTCTCTTCCATTTTTTTTATTGTATGCAATTTCCTGGAGTTGTTTGGTGACGTATTTACCATAATTACACTCCTTACCAGAATGAAAATAAGTTCGGATGTCATAAGTCGACTTTCATAAAACGATGAGATCTTATAGGGTGCCCCACAAAAAAAAAACATTTTTAGATTTATTATATGATGAAAAAAATTATATATATAAAATATATATATATATATATATATATATATATATATATATATATATATATATATATATTACTAAATGACTGAACTAAAAAAATAACCAACATAATTTTTTAATTATTTATTGTTCCAGGACAGCACAGTTATTTTCAACGCCAAGCGATTGTTCTCTTTAAGTAAGAACATCCAACTTGGAGATTGAAAAAATGCTAAGTTCATTGTTTGACCACCACATCTATCATTTGTGTTTTGTTTTGTTTTAAGCTACTAAATTTCTATATTTGGCTTTTGTTTCAAATAACGGTAACAAAAATTCCAACAATTAAATAAACTGTACCAAATTTCCTGTTTTTTTTTTTTGTTTTGTTTTTTTTTGGTGGTGTTGTTTTTTGTTTTGTTTTTTGAGTTTTTTGGGGTTTTTTGTTGTTGTGTGAAGCACCCTGTAGTTATTGGTCATTAATCCTTTCATTATAATAGAGCCAATTGAGATGCTTCTGCATGTGTGACGGTCTTGAGGTCTAACTTTTTGTTTCTATAATACATTAATGCTTGCTAAACCCCACTTTTTTGGAATGCATTTCTGATTACATACTTCTTTCAGAAAATTGAGGAACTTTTTATTGAATTCAGGAAGAAAGTAACCTATTTTAAAAGTTCAGCTTCAATATCAATATTTTTTATCATTCCTTATTTTTTTAATTTCTTCATCAGTAGGTTCATTATTATTTATGTTTGTAGACGGACTTTGTAATGATTAAATGCATATTGTTTATATTTCTGTGGGAATTTTTAGTTTAGTGTGGTCAGGGTTGAAATGTGATTCAGAGTGGGTTTTTTTTTTTTTGAGACCAGCACATTTCTTCTGTAGGGCTTTTGATTTTATGATATTATTGTGATTTTTCGCTTTTATTATATTTCAACTCATTGTCTATGATGTTCGGCTTCATTAATTTTCATTTATTGCTTTCTCAAAAATTTAACTATTTTTTCTTTGTTAATTGTTTAGTACTGTCTATTTCATTTTTCTTCTGTTTCTTACTTTCGTGTATCAATTTTTAAACTCAAGGGTGTCGTCCCGTGGGTGTATCTTTTCCCTTCTAGATATTCTTGGAATCGTTTCATGTGCTTAAGTTAATGTACATATGACAATATTATATTATTTGATTTCTCCATATTGTCTTGATCAAGATTTAGTGACATCAATTTAGACGCCGGTATATTATTGAATTATAAAATTACCCTTGCATTTTTAAAGTCTTGGAACTTATACCTCGGTGTTTTTCGTGGTTGATGTGGATAGAAGCTAGCTATTTTGTTGGCTGGTGTAGATAGATAGATAGATAGATAGATAGAGAGAGAGAGAGAGAGAGAGAGAGAGAGAGAGAGAGAAACGGGACAGTGTGGATATAAAAATCAATAATGCATAATGACTGTCAATTTCACACGTCAGTACGGTCTTCAAAATAACCTTGTTCTGAAGATCACATAGAAGATCGCCCTCTTTA